TACATGTTTATTTATACACACTCATCTGAGTTTTCTTTGATTTTATCTTAATAGTTTTTGTTCTTATTGTTTTTCATTTTATATACATGGGGAAGTAGAATAAGAATCTTTCCCCCGTAAGCCATACGTGTTGTAAAAGTCAACTAAAATTCCAGGAACAATGGGCTAGTAACCCCTTTTCCTGTAAAGATTACTAAAAAGACGAAGAAGACGATAATTGTCAAGGTGAAATGTCTGAATGTGCGTGGATGTTGTGCGAATGATAAGAAAGATTTGATTGTGGATGCTATGAATGAGAAGAAGCTGGATGTCCTGGCTTTAAGTGAAACAAAGCTGAAGGGGGTAGGGGAGTTTCAGTGGAGAGAAGTAAATGGGATTAGGTAAGGGGTTTCAAATAGAGTTAGAGCTAAAGGAGTAGTAGCTATGGCAGGAAAAGAGGGAGTATGAATGTACTAGTTCAAGGATTATGTAGAGTAAAATAAAGATTGGATGTGAAAAGTGGGTTATAGTAAGCATATATGCACTTGGAGAAGAGAGAAGTGTAGAGGAGAGAGAGAGAGAGAGAGGTTTTGAGAATTGTTGAGTGTGTGGGGAGTTTTGAAGCAAGTGTGAGAGTAATGGTGGTTGGGGATATTAATGCTAAAGTGGGTAAAAATGTTGTGGACGGAGTAGTAGGTAAATTTGGAGAGCCAGGGGTAAATGAAAATGGGGAGCCTTTAATTGAGCTATGTGAAGATAGAGGTTTGGTAACAAGTAATACATATTTTATGAAAAAGAGGATAAATAAATATACAAGGTATGATATAGCACGTAATGAAAGTAGTTTGTAAGATTATATCTTGGTGGATAAAAGGTTGAAGGGTACACTTCAGGATGTACGTGTTTATACAGGGGCAACTGATACATCGGATCATTATTTAGTTGTGACTACAGTTAGAGTAAGAGGTAGATGGGTCAAAAGGAAAATGGTAACAACAAGTAAGAGAGAGGTGAATATGAGTAAACTAGGGGAGGAAGAAGTTCGGGTGAGATATAAGCAACTATTGGCAGAAAGGTGGACTAGTGCAAGTATGAGTAGTTGGGGGGTTGAAGAGGGTTGGAATAGTTTTAAAAATGCAGTATTAGAATGTGGGGCAGAAGTTTGTGGTTATAGGAGGGTGGGTGCAGGAGGAAAGAGGAGTGATTGGTGGAATGATGAAGTAAAGGGTGTGATAAAAAAGAAAAAGGTAGCTTATGAGAAATTTTTACAAAGGAGAAGTGTTATAAGAAGAGCAGAGCATATGGGAAGTAAAAGAAAGGTGAAGAGAGTGGTGAGAGAGTGAAAAAGGAGAGCAGATGATAGAGTGGGAGAGGCTCTGTCAAGAAATTTTAATGAAAACAAGAAAAAATTTTGGAGTGAGATAAACAAGTTAAGAAAGCCTAGGGAACAAATGGATTTGTCAGTTAAAAACAGAGTAGGGGAGTTAGTAGATGGAGAGATGGAGGTACTGGGTAGATGGCGGGAATAATTTGAGAAACTTTTAAATGTTGACAAAGAAAGGGAGGTGGTAATTTCATGCACTGGCCAGGGAGGTGTACCATCTTTTAGGAGTGAAGAAAAGCAGGATGTGAGTGTGGGGGAGATGCATGAGGCATTACCTAGAATGAAAGGGGGTAAAGCAGCTGGAACTAACGGGATCATGACAGAAAAGCTAAAAGCAAGAGGGGATATAATGTTGGAGTGGTTGGTATTTTTGAAAGAAAAATGTATGAAAGAGGGGAAGGTACCTAGGGATTGGCAGAGAGTATGTATGAATTCCTTTATATAAAGGGAAGGGGGACAAAAGAGATTGTAAAAATTAGAGGTGTAAGTTTACTGAGTATACCATGAAAAGCGTATGGTAGAGTTATTATTGAAAGAATTAGAGGCAAGACAGAATGTAGAATTACAGATGAGCAAGGAGGTTTTAGAGTGGGTAGGGGATGTGTAGATCAAGTGTTTACATTGAAGCATATATGTGAACAGTATTTAGGTGAAGGTAGGGAAGCTTTCATTGCATTTACGAATTTAGAAAAGGCTTATGATAGAGTGGATAGGGGAGCAATGTGGCAGATGTTGCAAGTATATGGAATAGGTAGTAAGTTACTAAATGCTGTAAAGAGATTTTATGAGGACAGTGAGGCTCATGTTAGGGTGTGTAGAAGAGAGAGAGACTACTTCCCGGTAAAGGTGGGTCTTAGCCAGGGTTGTGTAATGTCACCATGGTTGTTTAACCCTTTCAGGGTCGCCAGGCCCTCTCCGAGACTTGTTCTCAGGGTGGCCAAATTTTCAAAAAAAAAAAATTATTTTTTCTTATGAAAAGATAGAGAATCTTTTCGCGATTATAATGACACCAAAAGTAAGAAATTTGATGGAAAACTTACGGAATTATGCTCTCGCGAAGTTAGTAGTCTCGACGATGTTTACGCATCGGCGATTTTGCCCACTTTGAGCCCCATTTTCGGCGAATTCAAGTGTACTAGTCGTCAAAACTCATAACTATTTCGTTACAAGTCCATTTTTTCTATCGAATGAGTACAAGAAACCACCCATTTACCGTTTTCAACTATCCAATAAAGTGGTCAGAATTTAGCAATTTTGCTTATTTCACACAAATTTCAAAAGATGCCAATTTCCGAATAGGGTCCAGAAAAACAAGAAAGACATTCCTGGCACTAAAATAACATTTCCTCTGTTCATTAGTCACGTTCCCACGTCCCTCTTACATTCTTATGAAGATTTACTGCTATGCAGACTACTGCATTAGTGTAGAAATGGTATAAATAATATCAGCACACTTGTGAAAGAATATTAGACTCACCAGTTGACGTGTATTGGATGCATAGCAAGATTTGTTTACTTTTGAACTTTGGTAAAAATCAAACATTTCTGCTACTTTGAGCTCAATTTCAAGGTACTTTTCATTGTAAAACCAGTCAAAATCATCTCAATTTCTGTAATATGTCTTCCATTCTATAAAATGAGACCAGGAAAACTAGAATACAACAATAAATACCATACGAAAATACAGTGCAAAGTCGCCATTTTAATCCAAAAACACGGTCAAAGTTTTTTTTCTCAATACGCACTGTGTGCAGCAGGATTTTTTTTATACTGCGCACACTGACCACATAAGACCCATTCTCTCATATGTAGGCCTACCAGCTTTCTCTCACTAGATTTGAGGGTGCTAGAATTTAGGCATACTCGTACGTACGTCAAAAACCCTGGTGCGTAAGCCATACTAGTACGTCCAAAACCCTGAAAGGGTTAATATATCTATAGATGGGGATGTAAAAGAAGTAAATGCTAGGGTGTAGGGGAGAGGGGTGGGATTAAATTATGGGGAATTAAATACAAAATGGGAATTGACACAGTTACTTTTTGCTGATGATACTGTGATTATGAGAGATTCTAAAGAAAAGTTGCAAAGGTTAGTGGACGAGTTTGGGAGAGTGTGTAAAGGTAAAAAGTTGAAAGTGAACATAGAAAAGAGTGAGGGGATGAGGGTATCAAATAATTTAGATAAGGAAAAATTAGATATCAAATTGGAGAGGAGTATGGAAGAAGTGAATGTTTTCAGATATGTATTTGGGAGTTGACGTGTCAGTGGGTGGATGTATGAAGGATGAGATTAACCATAGAACTGATGAAGAAAAAAAGGTGGGTGGTGCATTGAGGTATATGTGGAGTCAAAAAACTTTATCTATGGAGGCAAAGAAGGAAATGTATGAAAGTATAGTGGTACCAACACTCTTATATGGGTGTGAAGCTTGGGTTGTAAATGCTGCAGTGAGGAGGTGGCTGGAGGCAGTGGAGATGTCCTGTCTAAGGGCAATGTGTGGTGTAAATATTATGCAGAGAATTCGGAGTGTGGAAATTAGGAGAAAGTGTGGCGTTAATAAAAGTATTAGTCAGAGGGCTGAAGAGGGGTTGTTGACGTGGTTAGGTCATTTAGAGAGAATGGATCACAGTAGAATGACATGGAGTGTATAAATCTGTAGGGGAAGGAAGGCAGGGTAGAGGTCGTCCTCGAAAAGGTTGGAGGGGGGGGTAAAGGAGGTTCTGTGGGCGAGGGGCTTGGATTTCCAGCAAGCATGCGTGAGCATGTTAAATAAGAGTGAATGGAGACGAATGGTATTTGGGACCTGACAAGCTGTTGGAGTGTGAGCAGGGTAATATTTAGTGAAGGGATTCAGGGAAACCGGTTATTTTTATATAGCCAAACTTGAGTACCTTTATACGTATATGCTTCTAAACTATTGTGTTCTGGGCACCTCTGCAAAAACAGTGATTATGTATGAGTGAGGTGAAAGTGTTGAATAATAATTAAAGTATTTTCTTTCTGGGGATTTTCTTTCTTTTTTGGGTCACCCTGCCTCGGTGAGAGACGGCCAACTCGTTAAAAAAAAAAAAAATCTAATCAGATTGCATAAAATATATATGAACATTGTATACATGAAAAGCATAACTAATGAAAGTTGGAAACTTTCCTATGCAACTTCTGCAATATAAATGATTAGTATTTACAAGAGAAGTTTATACAGCTGACTGTGTGGATGACAGACTGGGCACTGTCAGCAAGTGTAAGAAATTTACTATTATCTATAGGGTAAAGTGTCCCTGCTAGGCGAGCTAAGAGTTTGTTATTATTCTGCAATCCTCAACATAGCAATGGCTGACTTTAGATTTATTTTTTCATATTTGTCACAATGTCATACAGTTTAGTGTTTTTTGTTTGGCACAATCATTCACATGTTTGTTTTCAACCTTATATATAGTAGCCTTTCAGAGGTCCTTTTTTTTATCAAGTTTGAGAAAAATTTATCATTACTTAGTGTATCACTCACAAATATACTATAAGCTATACTGGGAACTGGGATCAAATATTAACTTGATCTGTTTTGCAACTCCTTATGGATAAATATGTACAGAATTATTATTCTCTTTTTCCTACAAAGAATATTTAATAAATGCTTACCACTGGTGTTTGATCCTTGTTGCTCTGTCCTCTCCTAGACTCCTGCTTATCCTCACCAAAGTCATAGTTGCTCATATCTTCTGTGCCATAAATATCTTCATCTTCATCCTCAAAAGCACCAACACCAAAAGCCTGAAAGTATGTCAAAGTCAGATTCAAATTTTATTTCCTAGAAATTACAGAGCTGACTCAGTTCTTGGATTACACATTTTTTGTACATTCTTAGGAAAGTAGCACTGTGAAGGCTTTCTGGCAGGCTAAAATTAAAGTAGTACTTATGCACTACTTACTATTTGGATAAAGATAATAATATGTAATTTAAGTTTTGTGTACAAATTCATCATGCATAATTAAATGTTTTTTTTTATTATTAACACATGGGCTGTTTCCCACCAAGGTAGGGTGGCTCAAAAAAGAAAAACTTTCACTATCACTCACTCCGTCACTGTCTTGCCAGAGACGTGCTTACAATACAATTATAAAACTGCAACATTAACACCCCTCCTTCAGAGTGCAGTCACTGTACTTCTTATCTCCAGGACTCAAGTCCAGCCTGCCAGTTTCCCTGAATCCCTTCACAAATGTTACCTTGCTCACACTCCAACACCACATCACATCCTAAAAACCATTTGTCTCCATCCACTCCTATCAATTCAATTCAATTCAATTCTTTTTTTCTTTCCAAGTTTATAATGGGACTGACATGTTTTAGGGAGTCCTATTTACATAGATAGTTTACAGTGTGCAATTACAATAATGATTTGCAGTGCAAAGAGAGCCACTATCATGCCTAGGCATTATGGGCAAAACTAAATTTAATGGGTTACAGGCTAACTTAATACAGTGGACCCTCGCCTAACGAACGCATCGCATAACGTTAAATCCGCCTAGCGATACATTTTAATGCAAAAATTTTGCCTCGGCTAGCGCTAAAAAACTCGCTCAACGCGATTCGTTCGAGACGCGTCCACGTGTGGCCTGAGCCCACCTCACTTGTTCCGTGGGTGCCAGTGTTTACAAGCCAGCCACCGTGGACGCTTCCAAGCATACAATTGGAACATTTCATATTATCACAGCCTTTTTAGTGATTGCACCTGCAAAATAAGTGACCATGGGCCCCAAGAAAGCTTCTAGTGCCAACCCTACAGCAAAAAGAGTGAGAATTACTATGGATATGAAGAAAGAGATCATTGCTAAGTATGAAAGTGGAGTGCGTGTCTCCGAGCTGGCCAGGTTGTACACAAAACCCCAATCAACCATGGCTACTATTGTGGCCAAGAAAACGGCAATCAAGGAAGCTGTTCTTGCCAAAGGTTCAACTTTGTTTTCGAAACAGAGATCGCAAGTGAGAGAAGATGTTGAGAGACTGTTATTGGTGTGGATAAATGAAAAACAGATAGCAGGAGATAGCATCTCTCAAGCGATCATATGTGAAAAGGCTAGGAAGTTGCATGACGATTTAATTAGAAAAATGCCTGCAACTAGTTATGATGTGAGTGAATTTAAGGCCAGCAAAGGTTGGTTTGAGAGATTTAAGAAGCATAGTAGCATACATAGTGTGATAAGGCATGGTGAGGCTGCCAGTTCAGACCACAAAGCAGCTGAAAAATATGTGCAGCAAATCAAGGAGTACATAGACAGTGAAGGATTGAAACCTGAACAAGTGTTTAATTGTGACGAAACAGGCCTGTTTTGGAAGAAAATGCCAAACAGGACCTACATTACTCAGGAGGAAAAGGCACTCCTAGGACATAAGCCTGTGAAAGACAGGCATACTCTGCTGATGTGTGCCAATGCTAGTGGTGATTGCAAAGTGAAGCCTTTATTGGTGCATCACTCTGAAACTCCCAGAGCGTTCAGGAAAAACAATGTCCTCAAGGCTAATTTGTGTGTGCTGTGGAGGGCAAACAGTGAGGCATGGGTCACTAGGGACTTTTTCTATGACTGGTTACACCATGCATTTGCCCCCACTGTGAAAAATTACCTAACTGAAAAGAAATTAGACCTTAAGTGCCTCCTGCTATTAGACAATGCTCCTGGTCATCCTTCAGATGTGGCAGAGCAACTTTCTGGGGACATGAGCTTCATTAAGGTCAAGTTTTTGCCTCCTAATACCACTCCTCTCCTGCAGCCCATGGACCAGCAGGTCATTTCCAACTTCAAGAAACTGTACACAAAAGCTATGTTTGAAAGGTGCTTTGTAGTGACCTCAGAAACTCAACTGACTCTAAGAGAGTTTTGGAGAGATCACTTTAGCATCCTCAATTGTGTAAACATTATAGGTAAGGCTTGGGAGGAAGTGACTAAGAGGACCTTGAACTCTGCTTGGAAGAAACTGTGGCCAGAATGTGTAGACAAAAGGGATTTTGAAGGGTTTGAGGCTAACCCTGGGAATCCTATGCCAGTTGAGGAATCCATTGTGGCATTGGGGAAGTCCTTGGGGTTGGAGGTTAGTGGGGAGGATGTGGAAGAGTTGGTGGAGGAGGATAATGATGAGCTGCTAGATCATCTTCAAGAGCAAGAGGCCACACCTGAGGAAACTGCTTCAGAGGAGGGGATAGAGAAATTGAGGAAGTTGCCTACTTCAAAGATTAAGGAAATGTGTGCAGTGTGGCTTAAAGTGCAAACCTTTTTTGATGAAAATCACCCTCACACAGCTATTGCAAGCCGTGCTGGTGACTATTACACTGACAATGTTGTGAAAACACTTTAGGAATGTCATAAAGGAACATAAGGTTCAGGCCTCTATGGACAGATATGTTGTGCGACAGAGGTCCAGTGACTCAAGCTGGTCCTAGTGGCATTAAAAGAAGAAGGGAAGCAACCCCGGAAAAGGACTTTCCACCTCAAGTCCTAATGGAAGGGGATTCCCCTTCTAAACACTAACACCATCAACACTCTCCCCTCCTCCCATCCCATCAATCATCACCAGATCTTCAATAAAGGTAAGTGTCATGTAATTGTGCATGTCTTCTTCAGTTTGTGTGTATTAAAACTAATATTTCATGTGGTAAAAATTTTTTTTTGTTCATACTTTGGGGTGTCAGGAACGGGTTAATTTGATTTCCATTATTTCTTATGGGGAAAATTAATTCGCATAACGATAATTTCGCCTAACGTTGAGCTCTCAGGAACGGATTAATAGCGTTAGGCAAGGGTCCACTGTACCAGACAACTAGATCATAGTTTGTAAAATTGTACATTAGTTTTAATATATAGCAAATAGTAAATTGACTTTAATTACAATATGGGAATATTACAATGGGACAAGCTGAAAGTAGTGGCCTGGTAGCTTGGTGGCTAAAGCTCCCACTTCACACACGGAGGGCCCGGGTTCGATTCCCGGCAGGTGGAAACATTTTGACACGTTTCCTTACACCTGTTGTCCTGTTCACTTAGCAGTAAATAGGTACCTGGGTGTTAGTCGACTGGTGTGGGTCGCATCCTGGGGGACAAGGTTGAGGACCCCAATGGAAATAAGTTAGATAGTCCTCAATGACGCACTGACTTTCTTGGGTTATCCTGGGTGGCTAACCCTTCGGGGTTAAAAATCTGAAGGAAATCTTATCTTATCTTCTCAATGGTGAGTAAGTTTAGACTTTTGAATATTGGTGGAGTCTGCTGTCTGGAGTGGGAATTTCTTATCATCCTGACTGCAGCCTTTTGCTGGGTTATTAGTGGTCTGAGATGGTTTATTGTTGTTGAACCCCATGCACAAATTCCATAGGTGAGATAGGGGTAAATGAGTGAGTGATACAGGGCAAGGAGAGCTGGTTGTGGAACATAGTACCGTATCTTTGATAGTATGCCTACAGTCTCAGAGATTTTCTTGGAGATTTGTTGTATATGTGTGTGAAATTTGAGGCTACTGTTAAGGTGGATTCCTAATAATTTTCTCTCTGTGAGTCTTGTGACAGGTGATCCATTTACCATTATGTTAAGTGGAACATTTGTTGCTCTTTTTCCAAACTGAATGAAATAGGTTTTGTCAATATTGAGAGAAAGCTTGTTAGTCATCATCCAGGTAGATATTTTCTGCAGTTCTGCATTTACAGTGTTGGCTAGTATGACTGGGCTTGGGTGAGAGTAGACATATGTAGTGTCATCTGCAAATAATATGGGTTTGAGTAGTTGAGATGCAGGTAGGTCATTGATATAAATGAGAAAGAGAAGTGAGCCAAGGACACTTCCCTGTGGGACGTTGACTGTAATTGGTTGTGTGGAAGACTTAGCTCCATTTGTGTACACATAATGGCTTCTGTTGCGAAGGTATGATTTTAGGTAGTTGAGGGAGTGCCCTCTTATACCATAGTGTGTTAATTTTATGTACATCAAATCATGGTCAACTGCATCAAAAGCTTTATGTAAATCAATGAAGATTCCCAATGGGAATTCTTTTTTCTCGAGAGTGGTGTATATTAGTTCTAGCATGTGTATAATAACATCATTCGTGTTTTTATTGGGCCTGAATCCAAACTGACAGGGGTTGAGTATGTTGTGGGAGAAGAGGTAGGAACAGATCTGCCTATGAATTAATTGTTCTAAGATTTTAGAGAGAAGGGGCAAGTTAGATATTGACCTGCAGTTATTCAGGTCTGCTTGATCTCCTCCTTTGTGGATCGGGGTGACCCCTTGTTATTTTGAGAATTTCTGGGAAGGTGGAGGATTCGATGGATTTGTTAAAGAGTGTTGCAATAATTGGTGACAGTACTTGAGAAGCTGTCTTGTACAACAAGCATGTTGGAAGTCCAAGCCCCTAGCACACAAAACCTCCTTTGCCCCCTCCCTCCAACCTTTCCTAGGCAGGCCTCTACCCCGCCTTCCGTCCACTACAGATTTATACACTCTCGAAGTCATTCTACTTTGTTCCATCCTCTCTACATGTCCGAACCACCTCAACAACCCCTCCTTAGCCCTCTGGATAAAAAGTTTTGGTAATCCCACACCTCCTCCTAATTTCCAAACTACAAATTCTCTGCATTATATTCACACCACACATTGCCCTCAAACACGACATCTTCACTGCCTCCAGCATTCTCCTTGTTGCAACATTCACCACTCATGCTTCGCACCCATATAAGACCGTTGGTATAACTATACTCCCATACATTCCCCTCATTGCTTCCTTAGAC